CTGCAGAAAGACACTGGGCTACAGAGAAGACTTGTATTTCAAGGATGTTATGACCTCAGTCTGAGCATCAAGATATATGTTACATTGGGAAAGAGGTTTTGCCTTTGTTTCCACAGGAGAAGAAAAACTTTGGATTCCATCAAAATTAATCAAGATTCAATCTGAACAGAAGAAACCTCAGGATCAGGAAAGATGACAGCTCATCTACAAGGTAATATTCTACTATATGTACAGAGACCTCATAAAAGGAAAGAGAAGTGTTTTGTTTTTGTCTTCACAGGAAAACTCAGATCCAAACAACAAAAAACAAAAAACAAAAACAAAAACAAAAAACTGGACATATGAAGAAAGTGCACAGCAGGGCAGCGGCAGGCTGAGGTGTTGTGGGGTCACAGTCAGGCACTGCAGGGCAGGGGCAGGCTGAGGTGGGGGCAGCCATATAACTTGTAGACTCTTTGCACATTTAGATGAGAGCCAAAAAGGAGCTGAAGTCTAGACATGGCATGTGACGCTGAAGACACACTTTTTGTCTCTGGTCTCTATGTCAGGGCACCCAACCCATCTGATTACAGAATGTTCTTCTGTGCCTGTTCCCTAGCCACGTCTCCCAGAGCCTGCATCTCCACCAGTAAGCAGGTGCACAGGAAATGCTGGCTGTGTGAACATTAGGGCTCACTGTCACCTCCCAGGAATCGACGAGGAGATGTTTTCCAGATAAGGAAGTAAAGGGTACTAAAATCATCTCTGACTCTAGAATGAGAAGTGGCAGAAGTATGTGAAGAGAATGCCATTCATGATGGCCTACTAAGGCAAATAAAGAACTGAGGTAGACCTTTTCCTTGCTAACAATGGCACAATAAAACCTTCTTAAATTGAGAATGCCAGACCCTGCATTTCATTCTGCTGAGTAGGAAACTGTATAGAGTCGCCAAGGAATCCCCATGAGAATGCAAGTCTTTGGAAAATAAGAGGCAATGGCTCAGAAAATATAATCACGAGGTCTACTTTGCATTCATCTGCCAGAATAGCCTAAAACCATGAACTTGACAACTAGGAGAGGGGCATTAATTAAATCCTAGGGCACGGCCACTAAATATGTATACTACCTAAGTCTTTAAGCTAGAAGACACCTCACTGTCATGACAGGCTAAACTAACCCCAAAAAATGAACAACCAGACATATGTATGCATATGAACTTGCACTCCCTGAAAAGTACTGTATAGAAGAAGACACTTCACTGGAAAAATCTTGTTGTAGGCACAGGCCATCGGAGGGGACTGTTCCTGGTAGGGCTGCTACACAGGAGCCAATATTATGCCAGGGAGCTATGACATGGCCTATTGTAATCTTCTTTCAGAGGGAGATGGATGGAGTGGGAGGGAGAGGCATCAAAATGCTGACATGATCAACTCAGAGCGAGCTTAATGAGGATGAAAGGTTTGTACACAATAATTTCCACAGCCATCTACTGAAAATTGGGTTTATAAATTATCAGGAAAAAAGATTTATAAAAGTTCTTATAGAGGGAAGTACATAGGTTTTTAACATTGCTCTTCCTAGCTAATTCTAGCATAAATAATGGTGTATTCCACAAACAGTGGGAGATCTGAAGGAGCCACTGAACTGAGTGCCCAGGCCCAGAATTGGCTTGGGCTAGACTCCAGCTCTCCTGAACTTTGTTTTCATCTTCTGTGAAATACAGAACAGTGCACTTACATGATATATTGTTCTTAAGAATATTTGATTTGTGTGTGTGCGTGTGTGTGTGTGCGTGTGTATGTGTGTGGTGTGTGTGTGTGTGTGTGTGTTCTCATGCATGCAATTGCCTGGAAAAACCAGTAGAGGGTGCTGGATCCCTTGGATCTAGAATAAGATGGATGTGAGTCACTTGATGTAGGTGCTGGAAGGCAAACTGTGGTCCTTGGCAAGAGCAGGCGTGCTCATAGCTGCTGAGGCATCTCTCCAGTCCCAAACATCCTTTAGTTCTGTGATGCTGGGAGCTATAGCACTGTCAGCAAGGACACAGAAAGGCATTTCCTTTAAATCATGGCATATGACCTTTCCAATGTAAGTAGGACACACCTGTTATTGGATATGAGGGTCTAAATCCCAAACAATCTAGTAGAGGCATTTCAGTTTGGAGCCCTTTGCCCGGGGCATGGGTTTAGCAGAATAGACAGTCTGTGTATACACTGGGAACAGTCAATGCATTGCCCAGCTCCTCAACACCATACAAGTTCAGGCTGCCCACTTACTTGTACATGTGTATGAAATTTAGCAACTTTTAAAATACCTTGGGCTCAGCCACAGGTTAGTATTGCACAGTAGCTTTCAACTCAACTGTCAGGGTAGTAAGAAGGGGAGTCCCAACAGCAACAGGGAAATAAACATGTCAGAAATAGCCGGGATTGATGGGGGACGTGTAGATCTAACCAAACACACACTTTCAATTCTGTATCTTTGTGTTTTAATGCAGTTATTAAAATGTCCTAGGACTCTGACAAAACAAACCCTCCTTCAGTACTGATCTCCAGAGCAGGAGATGCACCAGCCTGACAGCCATTTGAACAAACGTCAGTATATAACTTTTCTCCAAGAAGCTTTTTCTTCATTTGTTCTGCTACCAGTTATAAAACAGCCTTGATTAATACTTGACATGCTAAGTCACTTACTGCACACATGATGAAAACAGAGACTAATGAGGAATTCTCTTGAGACAACTGTGACAGAAAGTGATGAACATGAGCTAAGAACCCAGAGAAAGAACTGGTGTAACAGGACGGACTCTCAGACGGCACTCACAGCTACCTTGGCAGCCCGCGTCCTACACAGAGCCAAGTCCCAGCAGGCCGCCATCAGAAAAATGTCCAGGCACCAAGTTGTGATTAAGTTATTCGCATTTAAAGCCTAGGGGAAGGGTCAACATAGCAAATCCTGAGCATCTTTTGGTGTGATTTGATAAATCAGTGTGTACTAGGAGTACAACACTGCTCCCAGATCTTCAGCTAGTATGCGGTGGGCACTGGACAGGCCAAACTAAGTTCCATAAGCCTGAGCTGCCCGAGTCACAGGAGGAAAAGAGGAAGTGGCTCTTGCTGAATGTCCTATTTCAGTCATGTCTCACTTATAGCAAACTGGCAACACTCATCTTTTTGTCTCATTTCAGCAAGGACATTCACGGGCAAGCAGGGCTGAGTAACAGAGCCTTGACCAGGTCCTCATTTTTCAGGTGCTGCCCTGCCTATCACCGGTGCCTCTGGCCTGCTCTGTCTACAGGCTGACCTCCAAGTGCAGCCCATACTTTAGCTGTCCACACGTGCTCAGCCGCTGCCTCTTATCCTCAAGCATAGATTAGGTTCTGTGGAAAGTCCCCTTGTAATCTTTCTTTCAGCCAAGCAACTTCTGTGAATGGTTATTATCATATCAAATACATTCTGTCTCCTGCTTTTTAAACTTTATCCATGTTAGTGAAGAAAAAGTATTTTAATCTTTATAGACTGCATTGCTATCACAGTCAATCTCTTACTGATAGATATTTCAGTCATCCCAATTGATCTTCTTTATGATTGTAAATTTTAAAAATCATTATATGTAAAAGGTACTAGGGCAATTAAAATAACACTTGCATAAGTTGGGTATCTTTCTTCAGATGAAAAATTCCTTACAACAGAAGCAACCACTGTTACTTTGCATGGATGCTGGGATGCACCTCTGGCCCTGGGGAAGGCAGCTCTTCTCAGCACCCTTCAATCCCACTTTTAAAAGATACAACCATGCTACTTAAATGGGGAGTAAGCTGAGAGCTACACGACAGGATTCTGTCCGAGAGTGAAATGTACACAGGAAACAAATCCACTGTTGCCAATAGCTGGACATTCACAGCCGGTGTAGACTTTTCTTCCCATTTTAATCCAAGTGTTGTCCCTCCTATGCCTGAGGATGCTATGTTAGCACCAACTGAAGAGCAGGCTCATGGCAGAGGCTGCTTGGACATCCCCACGCTTCCATAAAGCTGCCTCACAGCTGCTGTGCACAGCAGACAACCGGGAGATTTCCCAGAAAGATTTTTTTTTCAAGTTTTGGTAAATCTTTCTCCCAAGGATTTCTTTGCTCAAAACCAAAATCCAAATACTAAAAAGATCACAGACTCAAGTAGCTAAGAAACAGAAAATATACAAACAGTGACACTTTAAAATTAAATTTTTTTAAATAACAAAAATTAATCATATAATACATTATTTCTCTATAAACTATCTCTTAAGTGCTCCTTATTTTTGTGCATATGTGTTATATGCAAATGTGGATATTATTCGTGTGTGTGTGTGTGTGTGTACGTACTCTGAGTTCTTACAATAGCTGGTGAGGCTGGCAATTTGTCATATGACCAGGAGCAGCATACTACCAATGGGCTAAGAACAAGCAACAATATCCACAATGGAGGATTTTGCAAGCAGCACATATTTATGGCAGTCATACAAAATGCCCCAGGAGACCAGCTTGAGTATTAATCCTAGGACCTCCACAAACAGAGTCGCAATACCAGAAGATCTCCTGATGTGGCACACTGATGACTTGCATGTCGTCAGAATGTTACCAGTTCTCAGGTCCTGCACTTATGGTTGACAGTTAATAAACTACAGAAAGCCTCACCAAGTTAAGCACTGTGTGAGTGACGGCAGACTGGGGGTCTCAGCAATGAAGCCCATTGATTTCAGAAGCTCAACCTATTGGTTTGAGAGATGCAGGTATCTACAAAGGCACGGTGGCAGTCAGGACGTGAAGACACATTTGTTTTCCTCTGATTTGAACTCCTATGCTGCTTGTTTGTCATGAACTCTTGGGCCATTTTTCTAAGCGCTTGTTCCTCATCAGTCACTGTGGGCGCTGATACTGCTTCTACCACAGGGGTTGTGAGGAAGTGAGGACTCACTGTGTGCACAGCAGTGTCGTTGTCACAGATCCCATCACTGCTGCTTCAGGGCTAGCATGGCTCACTTACCGAGATGCATGTCCATGACCTTTGCACAGTACTTGCACATGGCATCTAGATCATTCAGCTGTCCTTGCAGGAAGGAAATCTGGGCTTCCAATTCTTCTTCCTATTACAAAGCAGATATAAATATTTTTTAAAAAATTGCTAAGTACTACATGTATCCTAACTTAGTTTTATTGTTGTTGTTTTGTTTTGAGACATGTTCTTATTTTGTAGTTCAGGATAGCAAGGAACTCTCAATGTAGACCAGACTGACCTTAACACTATGGCCTCTCCTTCTTAAGTTCGAGGATTAAAAGCATGTGCTACCACACCCAACCTCCATATACAGACAAAACTGAAGGAAAAACAACAAAACAAACAAACAAACCAAGCCCACTACTATCATCACTAACACAGGCAGTAAAACAGAGACAAAAAAATCTGGAGTAATCCTAATTGATTCTAACTTTGGATCTCAATAATCACACAAACTTTATATAAAGTACATAAAATATATTTTTTATTTCATACATGCTCCCCCCAGCCCCCTCCCGTTCCTTCCTACCAGTTTTATGTTCTTTCTGCCTCTCATTCAAAAGACACAAAAATTAAAATCAAAAGAAGCAAACAGAAAAACTAGTAAGTCAAAAAAGTCAAAGCAAATGAAACAGAAAGCCTACAACAAAACGAAAAATATAGTTCATTTTGTGTTGGCCAACTAATATCTTTAAAACACTGAGCAGGGAGCCGGGCGGTGGTGGCGCACGCCTTTAATCCCAGCACTCGGGAGGCAGAGGCAGGTGGATCTTTGTGCGTTCGAGGCCAGGCTGGACCGATAGCCTCTGAAACAATACAGAGAAACCCTGTCTCGTAAAAAACCAAAAAAACAAACAAACAAAAAACAAAAAACAAAAAAACAAAAAACTGAGCAGGGGCTGGAGAGATGGCTCAGAGGTTAAGAGCACTGGCTGCTCTTCCAGAGATCCTGAGTTTAATCCCCGGCAATCACATGGTGGCTCACAACCATCTATAAAGAACAGGCAAACATGCAGACAGAACATTGTTTACATAATAAATAAATAAATCTTTAAAAAAATACCGATAGGATCCTTTGGTGTTTTGGAGACTTGCCAAAAATAAATCAAGAACAGTTAAGCAATTGAAATAGACCTATAAACCCTAAGGAAATAGAAGCAGTCATTAAAAGTCTCCAAACCAAAAAAAGCCCAGGGCCAGATGGCCTCAGTGCAGAATTCTACAAGAAATTCAAAGAACAGCTTATACCAATTCTTCTCAAAGTATTCCACACAATAGAAGTAGAAGGGCCTTTGCCAAACTCTTTCTACTAGGCTTCAATAACCTTGATACCCAAGCCACACGAAGACACAACTAAGAAAGAGAACTTCAGACCAGTATCCCTCATGGACATTGATGCAAAAATACTCAATAAAATACTGGCAAATCGGATCCAAGAACACATCAGAAAACTCATTCACCATGATCAAGTAGGCTTCATCCCAGGCAGGTAGGGTTGGTTCAACATACGAAAATCCATCAATGTAATCCACCATATAAACGAGTTGAGAAACAAAAATCACCTAATCATCTCACTGGATGCTGATAAAGCCTTTGATAAAATCCAACACCCCTTCATGTTAAAGGTCTTGGGGAGATCTGGGATAACAGGAACTTACCTCAACATAATAAAAGCTATATACAGAAAACCAACAGCCAACATCAAACTAAATGGACAGAAACTCAACGTGATTCCTCTAAGATCAGGAAAAAGACAAGGCTGTCCACACTTTCCATACCTCTTCAATATTGTACTTGAAGTTCTAGCTAGAGCAATAAGACAACAAAAGGAAATCAAGGGGATACAAATTGGAAAGGAAGAGGTAAAACTTTCACTATTTGCAGATGATATGATAGTTTACATAAGTGACCCAAAAAACTCTACAAGGGAACTTCTGCAGCTGATAAATAGTTTCAGCAAAGTGGCAGGATACAAGACCAACTCAAGAAAATCAGTAGCCCTACTATATACAGATGATAAAAGGGCTGAGAAAGAAATCAGAGCAACATCCCCCTTTACAATAGCCACAAACAACATAAAATACCTTGGGGATAACACTAACCAAACAAGTGAAAGACCTGTACTACAAAAACTTTGAGTCTTTAAAGAAAAAAAATTAAAGAAGACACCAGGTTGGGGCATTGGTGGTGCAAGCCTTTAATCCCAGCACTCGGGAGGCAGAGGCAGTAGGATCTCTGTGAGTTCGAGGCTGGCCTGGTCTACAGAGTGAGTTCCAGGACAGCCTCCAAAACAATACAGAGAAACCCTGCCTCAAAAAAAAAAAAAAGACACCAGAAGATGGAAAGATCTCCCATGCTCTTGGATAGGTAGGCTCAACATAGTAAAAATGGCAATCTTACTGAAAGCAATATACAGATTAACACAATCCCCATTAAAATCCCAGCACAATTCTTCACAGACCTTGAAAGAACAATAATCAACTTTATATGGAAAAACAAAAGACCCAGGGTAGCCAAAACAACCCTGTGCAACAAGGCAACATCTGGAGGCATCACCATCCCTGACTTCAAGCTCTATTACAAACCTATAGTCCTGAAAACAGCTTGGTATTGGCACAAAAATAGACAGATAAACCAATGGAATCAAACTGAAAGCCCCAATATTAACCCATACATGTATGAACACCTGATTTTTGACAAAGAAGCTAAAATTCCTAGAGAAATTTGTAAGATTCTGGGAGTTTTTCCTCAGAGAAAGGGAATAATCCTTATAATCTGGCTATTTTAGCCATGACTGCTAGAGTAGAAAAGAAAGGATGTTGCCAGGGTTGGCACAGGTGAGAAAATGGACTTTCCAGTCTTGGATGCTTTTTTCTTATATAACATTCCTCTGTGCCATTAACAAAAAGGGAAGAGAAAACCTACTGAGACATTTCTTTGCTTTTTTAAAGTGAGTAATTATAATTTGACTGTAGGATGGAAATTAATAGATGAAAAGGTCTCCTGTAGGTGTACTGCATTTGGAAGACACATGTAAAAGCACTGAAAAGCACTGATTTGAACTGCAACCGCAAGAGGTTTTAGCAACATGCATGAAATGATTGGCACAATGCCAGACATAGCAGCGCTCAAAAAGTTAACTGTGGAATGTCTACTGTAGGATTATGTAAGCACTTCCCATGTTCATTATGCAGCCTACCAGGTTGGACAGCTCCTCCTGCTCTCCAACAAGGACACATGGCATCAGAAGCTTGACCAGAGAATGCCAAAGGAGAAAAGGTACAGTTGCCTATCCAATTCCAACTGGGCAGGCACCAAGGTGAAAAAGGATGGGCCTTTTCACCATATGTCTCCTGGCCTGTGACAGTTGTAGTCAGTGTGTGGAGATGGCACCACACAGCCCTTCTCTCAGAATGTGCGTGTGGCCTCACTTATTAGGAATCTCTCTCCACCTCTTGTATTTGTACTGTCCTCACTAGCCTTGATATGGAGACTACAGCAAGTCAAACTATGTCACATTGGAGGAAGTTTCAGAAGCCTGGCAAACTCTGCCTTCCCTGAAGGAGGTTCAGGATGGCTGTTTCGGCTGCAGCATCCAAGAGAGCTGTGGGGGAGGAAAGGCCACACAGGAACAGTGAGACCCTGGATGTGAGAAATGTTTAGTCCATCACAGCTGTAGCCAGGCAAGCGAGGGATTCAGTTAATACTGCATGCAGCAAAGTGCAGCCTGATGAGCACCATCCAAGTTCCTAGCCCACACACCCAAGAGAGCAAGGGAGCCCCGTGGTGCTGTCCTTTGGATCTGTTCCTTATGCAATGAGAAACGGTTGAATGTGGGAGTGGTTAAGACACACACTCACATATGACACCAAGAAACTTAAGTTCTATTCCTGTCTTGTCATTGATAAGTCACATGGCCTTAAGCCATCTCCCTCTCTGGCTCTAGTGGAGACTCAGTCCTCTGGAGGGCGTAAACGCAAACTTTCTCCCAATGCACTTAGCAACTGGTAGTGTGCTGGTCATGTGGTAGAGTGCACAAGTCTTACAATGAAACAAGAAACACTCCTAGGGATCTTGTCCCCTCCGCCGAATATTCTTTTAGTTACAGACATAAACCCAATCAGAATCTAGACCTGGACCAAAGCTAGAATTTGATTGTGGCTGGTAGTCGGGGTGCTGACAGTTCAGGGAATACAGAAAACACCAGACAAGAGAAGCTTCCTAGAGTAAAGCCATCTCTGTGTACTCTAGGCAACAGTTTAATTGAGAGTACCAATCACACTGTCTAAAGCATAAAAGCCCCAGGGAGCTTTTGTCCCCAGTAGACATCTTATTTACAGGGTTGTGTTCTATTTGGTGGTTTGTTTTTGCAAACCCTGCAGGGAAGAACTTCAGAGGACACATTTTAGAGGAGACAGGTATGGCCTTCTGGCTCGAGGCACTGACCAGCTGGAGAAGTGTCTTCAACTCACAGGATCTCTCCCTCTACAGTCTGCTGCTCTGCAATGCTGTCACTGTGTGGTAGACACTGTGGCCAGTCCAGGGTTTGCACCTATGTGGGGCCGCCCTGGTCATTGTTATTAGTCCAGGGTTTGCACCTATGTGGGGCCGCCCTGGTGTTTATTAGTCCAGGGTTTGTACCTATGCGGGGCCGCCCTGGTCATTGTTATTAGTCCAGGGTTTGCACCTATGCGGGGCCGCCCTGGTCATTGTTATTAGTCCAGGGTTTGCACCTATGTGGGGCCGCCCTGGTGTTTGTTATTAGTCCAGGGTTTGCACCTATGTGGGGCCGTCCTGGTGTTTGTTATTAGTCCAGGGTTTGCACCTATGTGGGGCCGCCCTGGTGTTTGTTATTAGTCCAGGGTTTGCACCTATGTGGGGCCGTCCTGGTGTTTGTTATTAGTCCAGGGTTTGCACCTATGTGGGGCCGTCCTGGTGTTTGTTATTAGTCCAGGGTTTGCACATATGCGGGGCCGCTCTAGTTATTTGGCTGCCAAATTTAGAAGAATAAGAAAACACAAATTTCCAAGTTTTCATTTTCATGCCTAGAACCCAACCAAATTTCAGTGCAATAGAACCTGTGTCCAC